TTTTTCCCTTATGGGGACCAGGAAACCGGTCCCCATAAGGGAAAAAAAATGGATATTTATCACGTTATGGGGACATTATGTCCCATAAGGATAGGTAAACCCACACCCACACACACACACTACAGCTCCCATTTTAATATAATAAATGACTCCTTAACTTCTAACTCACAAACATCAGAAATGCTGTTTTGCTTTGAGACTTAAACGGGAATGCACACACAGGTACACGCGCTGATCGAGGCATGCGGTCACGCAAACGTGTTGAGTGCGTCACTGGCTCCCAGTCACCCCCAGTCCTTTCCTGCACACTTCGCTCACACCCTAGGGGGGGGCGTGTTGACATGCTGACAAAGACACAGTGTCCCGAAAATCACTGTGCCTCTGAAATCCATCTGAAAATGTCCCCATAAAATCTGTGACCTATAACCTTTGTTGGTAGTTGCTTCATGGTCAGTAATGAGGCACATTAATGTTATCTCCTCCCATAATGATGTTTATATGTTTGGACATTTGCTGAATATCTTCCGAGTACAAGGCCACCTTCCATCCAGAGGACGCAAAGCTGGAATGAAGCGTTGCATTGACACGGCCACGGCGCGCACCCACACCGCCGCCTCTCCACAAGCACGCAACGGCAGATGCACAGACTCAGCGAGCTGGTGGGGTCACCGCCACAGCCCAGGCACTGGACACATGGCAACCCAGGGGCCTGCAAACTGCCCCCAGGGGAACATGGAGCAGACAGCAGCCAAGGAGGCACAGCGGAGAGTTAGGGGGGAGGGGGAGGGGGTGAGGGGGGGTAAATAAGCAGCAGGTCACCAGGGAGACAGAGAAGCAAACAGTGAAGAAACCAAGAAAAAAACCGTCAACCTCAGCCACATCCATCTCATCATCAAAGGCAATCAACTGGAAGAGAAGAGCACAGCAAACAGTCAGTATGGGCGCATCTGACAGGGCTGGGGTGAAAAACGACAAAGAAAAAAAAACAACAGAACAGAGGTCATTTCAGAAAAGCACACCATGTCTGTTAGTAAGATACATAGGAGGAACAGCATTTCAAAGCTCTGGTCAGTACCAACAGAAAAGAGGGAGCAGATACAACCAAGCCGACAGACCGGAGATTAGTAATGAGATATTTACACAGCCGGCAGAGCGTATTAGTCCTGGGGTGCTTTAATACATGCTGCTGTCTTTGACTCATACTCCAGAACATGCTGCAGGCCACCAACCCCCCAAAATAGATGGAATGATAGGGCGGGTCCTCCGAAGACAGCTAAGAGTGGCCTAAGAGTGTGTTTGAGCGTGTGGGTGTTAAGGAGGGCATGTGCTACGCTACCCCTCGCCGGCCACCTCAATAATAAGCGGAAGGCAGCAGAGCAGGAAGAGGAGGAGTCATCCCAGCTCACGATTGCCATTCGTGCCCAAGGTGACAGAGCACCCAATCAGAAGACTGGCAGCTATGCTTAGGGTGACTTTAATAAATAAATAATAACATAAAGGGACAAGGCAGGAATAAGATTGTCCAAACCATACCATGTGTTTCTTAAACTGGCACATTGGTGTCTTTACACTGCAATGCTGAGATGTTCCCTTGGAAACCCCCCAAAGTGGAGATATGGAAGAAATCCCTTGGACTCACTAATAGCAGGAGCAGTTTTGATGTGAAATCTGCATGATAACATGTGGAACCCCTGAGACCAGGGGATTTCCCCCACTCCGCATTTGTGTTACAAATAAATGTTTTTGGAATAAAGATACAACTCGGAGGGCAATGCTAAGATGTTGTGAACCGTTGAAGCTTTCCTCAGCTGGCTGCCGGACAATATCAACAGAAGAGCAAAAAAATAAATAGATTAAACAGTACAGACACAGTTACTGCACACGGAGATTCCCAGAGGCGTCTGAGGAGAGGCCTAGACCAGACTGATCAAACAGCAGTGGTCAGGACAGGCGATCGGGCAGTCTGGATGCTGAGGACGTGGCCTTCAGTACCTTCTCCCCGTAACCACGGTCTTTGGTCATCATCTCCCGTAGAGTCTGCAGCACCTTGATGCAAAGCCGTTCCTCGTTCTCCTCCAGCAGCTGCTTGGTGTGTTTGATGAGCCTAGTGGAGGCAGGAGGGGGGTCCAAGCATAAGCAGGTACCAGGGGGGCCTGGGTGTGGACTTACAGAAGGGGTGTGCATACACCAGCCTGGGGAAGCCTGTGTCCTTATGACATCATTCGCCTCGTTAAACAGAAAATTCCCCAAACTATTCCTTGCTGATCAGTTCAGGTTTAGGTTAAAATGAGAGTCCCCACGAAGATGTCATGCGTGTGTGTGCGTGGGTGTGTGCACTGGCAACACATATGGCCGGCAACACATCTAATTGCCCAAAGGCCCAGGCAAACAAAGGTAAACAAAACTGGGTGGACTCTGGAAGGAGCTGAGCAACTCTACTCAGGAGCCAGCTAAACTCAGAGCTCTGGCACGCCCATCCGCGGAAGGCGGCCAAGGGCAGGTTAAACATTCTCCGCTTTGGCGGAACGTTGTGCGGCGGCTCCGCGGTGCAGCAGGCCGCGTCCCAGCACTCAGGATGATCGGCACCCTCTGCGTTACAGGCTCCCGGAGCACATGCTACCCTATCCGGCTTAATCAGGCAGGCACCTGTTCATAGAAAGCCGTGGGCTTAGCACAATATCTGCAGATGGGGCGCTGACGTCTGTCTTAGTCCCCCCTGCCATGGCCCCGTGGGGTTGCCATGTGCAGCACTGGGAGGACAGGACGCAGTATAGCACACACTTTCTAAAACGGTAAAGCCTTTTTTTGTACTTTTGCTTTCCCTTCTCACATCCTCTTCTCACAGACGGCACAGAGCGAGTTTATACACTGGAGTAACAATGCTGCCCCACAGGAATATTACCCCACCCTCTGTCCCAGCTCTCGATTCCTATTCCAGTCAGTACTGGCATCTAAATCCCCATCTGGTGCAGACATCACAGCCTCAGTCTGGAGGCATGTTTAGTACACAGCTCTTTGCCTGAGCCAGACAGCACTGCGGAAGCACCAAAACAGAGAAGTGCTTTACCTAGAGATACGCCGGGCCAACCTTCACGTGAAAAGTTCATTAGAATTGTATTTATGTGGGGTCCTGGGGGCTCCGGCTGAGCTTATCACTGCTTTAGATTAATAGACATTTTTGCAAGCGATGTCCCATCTCACAAATCACTTTTCAGGTTATAAATAACAGCCATTATGTCTGTCAGTAGCCAAAGGTTGCTGAAAATTAGCCCTCTGCTGGAAGGTTCCATCTTTATGCAAACTGACTGTGAATGAAGTGATAATGACAACTTGCAGAAGGCGGCAAAAGTTACAGGGTGGCGGGGGGGGTCTGACAGCTTGGCCCCGGGGGGGATAGGGGGGCGGACAGCTGTCAGTGGCTGGCAGGGATGCCTTACTTGCAGATGAAGCCCCCACTTTCGCACTTCTTCCTGGCATCCGTGTTCTCAGGGAAGAGCAGCTCAGGACGGTGGAGAACGTCCACCAAGACCGAGAGCTCTGCCTGCACCAGTGGCCGGAGACGGTCCTCCAGCGCCGACACGATATCCTGCAGGAGAGAGTGCAGGTCAGCCACCACACGCTCCTGGGATCTTCTGTCCACACGGTGCCCCCCCCACAAGTGGCTCACCAGGACAATGGCACTAAAACGAATGCAGAAGGTACGACTCTGGCCTCCACGCATGGCCTGTTCATGGAGTCACTATACCTCCTGTTATACTGGGGCTGCTGGGAAAGGCAGGCTCACACTCCAGTTTCATCTTACATCATGTTCAACAACTAAAAATAAAAAATGTGAAACAAAATGCACTAAAAATTTTATTCTATAAAATAAGTTTAAGGGGGAACAAGTCATATTAGAATATGACTCATAATTTAAAAATTAATAATAAAAAATGACCAAATTTAGTGCTCTAATTCGTTTTATGTCTTTCCTTTGTTGCCTAAAAGTATTCTGTTGTTTTTCCCAGTCACACAAAACCCCATTACCTACCCAAGCATGTTTTTAACCCCCAACCAGAGGCTGTTTACTAGATCTTCTCTTACTAGATCTTAATTACCAGCTTAACCTTTGACTCCTCTGGACTCTCTGGTAGAACACAGAGCGTTAACTAGGAGCTCTGTGATAAACAAAGGCCATCAGGACTATGTGTAGGTCAGGGGCTCTCCAGACCCTGTGTAGGTCTCTCAACAAAAGGTGCACATCCTCTCAATGAGTTGCTGCAAAAGGTCAGGGCATGTTTTCCTCAAGGTGATCAGAAGATCTGAGGTAGACAGAGGAGTAACTTCCACCTAACTTTGTCATGCTGGGTGAGGCAGGAATAAATGTGTGTGTGCATGGTTAGCCAGTTCCTTCACAACATCGTGAAAAGTCACACCTACCCAACCCCAAGGCCGAGCAAAACTGTGACCGCTGTGTGACACGTCGGCGCCCTCACACGCAAACACGCACATGCTCACTCTCCATTGATCTGCCAGCACAGGACCCTGTTTAATCTGCACACTGATTCATGCAAATGATGCAAGAGCAGAGTTCTACAAGGACTTTGTCAGAGCCACGGATTCTGTGATGAAAAGGTTTTAATAATGGCATCCATGGCCTGAAATAGCTGGAAGACTCCCTGCCTTTTCTGTAAGTAAAGTCAAATCAGATCATATCAAAGTTTATTTATCAAACGCACAAACATTATGTCAAACAGAGGCATATGGGCACTGAAATGAGTTGAAATTAGAAAAATATTACATAATAGGATTGATGACATTTTAATAGAAAGTGGATGGAGTTACCAGCTTCTGGTACAGTGTGAAATATACATGGACCTATTTGTCCATTTCAGCTGGATTGATCTCAGTTTATAAGTTCCAAGCCCCCAAACATGGCCTAACAGGTAAGTCAGAGAGCCAAGTGGTGAAGTGTTTCAGGCATGAGAGAACGGCATGCAGAGTTTCACAAGACTTGACCCATGATCTCCACACAAGCCTTTTTCTCCCCTCCTCTTCAGCTTGTATGACACCATTATTTCTAGGAAGTCATGCACCACCCACCCTCGGGAGAAATGGCTGGCATTTCCCTCCTCCTCATGCCGATTATACAGTCACTCTGGAAGGTTCTGCTTAAGGCCGGGGTTCGTACTCACCTGGAGCCGCTCGATGATATTCCTGTAGTCACGCGAGGTGGTCAGGGTCGAGTCCCTGCGGGTTGCGTTGCGAGCGGAAAGCCTCCAGCTCAGTGCCGTCTTCTGCACAATGTTGTTGGACTTGACAAACAGGTTATTCACCTGGCTGTCCAGGTCCACTGGGATGGCTATCGCGCGGCTTTTGGCTGCGTGGTCAAAGAACCAATGAGGGATGGAGGCAGAAATGCAAGTTGACGTTCCTTCAGCAAAATTATATACAATTATATATATATGGAGCTAACGTGTTAAACTTGGCTCCAGGGAGAGGGGGCCGTGCCATCTTCACACAGGTGTCTTACCCACATCAGATAGCACCTTGATGCAGGCCTCCACGGAGGCCTTCTGTGTTGGCGTGAGCCAGCTACAGTGATAAATCCTGAAGACCCCCTGCAGCAGCTGGACAAACACCGGCTGGCGAGTCTACAGGTGGAGGAGAAGAAATAAAACCCAAGAAAGAGAGGGAAGAAGATAGGAAAAAAAGTTCGGTGGGGGAAAGTGGAAGAACAAATCAAAATGATGGTGAGAAGAGAAGGTGACAGACAAAAGAGGGCAGAGAAATGAGAATTAGGCCACAAGGAGTCAGTGACATTTCCTTGGATGAACAGTCTGCACTGATGGGTGTTTCAGGTAACTCATACCCTGTCCATCAGGGTGCTCCTATCTCAGTTTGCCCTGTGGTGAAACGAAAGAAGACACAGCCAAACCACATCAAGAGGCCTGAAAACCAGGCCAGTTTGGCTGCCACAACAAAGTCCCAAAGTTGAGCAATTTCAGTTTTCCACGGCATAACTAAATGTGTTTATTCTAGGCCATCCAAGATTACAAATAGCCACTTAATACAAAAATGTTTTGTTTGCCTTGGAAGTCTTCAGATCTGCAGGGCCGTACAAGAGATTTAGACAGATGGATCTTATGATGGTGGACAACTTGGCATCATCACTGCTCTATAACCAGACCACATCCTCCTAGAGAGGAGGGTCTGTAATCCGTTTCACCAACTATTTGCTGATATTTCTAGGCACAAGTGACGGTGCCGACAGCCCTGCACTGGGAAGTTCATATGGTTATTGCAAAGATGTACCACAGACCAGTCAGGCATATCAGCTGACATGACTACAGCTGAGGTTCGATCACACCAAGGTAAGCCACAGAACTGTGGAAAATACAAGCAAATACCTCTGTTATGTTGCCCAAAACAGATGCATGTTCTGGAAAACAGAGAGGTTTGAAGGTCTGAAAATTTGAATCTGTCCTGAATAACATCTGGCAAGTTTTCACTAACAAAGGACTACAGTTTCTTAAAATGCCCTCAAGTTCATTTTAATACATATCCACCGAGGAGCAGAATAAAAATGTCTGAAATTAACATTTAAATAAGAGGAATATATCTCTACTGCTGACTGATCAGGTCCATACCAGCCTGTGGTCGATCTCGCTGTTTATCCTGCTTCAGCATCAACTGCTTCACGCCAAGTGAGGTATTCACGCTATTCTTGCAAAGTCAACAAACAACATCAAACACACCAGCCGAATCAGAAGGGAGTGCAGAAGGGTGTGTGTGGCTCATGTGTTTAAACACACCACTCTCCCGAGCACTGAAGCAGGGCTGAGACAAGATTACATCTGCATCCAACTTCCTGTTGGTCCACAGCTGAGCCTTTCTATGCCAGAAGCTCTCCAAGTTAAACGGGAAGGAAAGGAAGAAATTTGATTTCCTTCAATGTCTGTAAACCTACAGGCTTGAGCAAACAGGAGCCGGCTGACAGGCAATGGGTGGGGGGGGGGAGGTGCTGAGGCACAAAGTTTCTGAAGACACATAAGAAAAATTAGACATTCCTCTTAAGAAGAACAGACATGGCCATATATTTTATTCAAACTTCACAGACACTAGGTCAAGATAGGTACAAATGTTTCCAGAAGTAAAAGGACCAGGAAACTAACAAGACCAGCTTATTTTGGACAAAAGCAAAAGGCTTTCTTGTCACCTTCTACTTGTTGGTGGTGACAGAAGCTATCCCAGATCCACAAATGGAGCTGAAAGTGACTTCCATGATTTCCTCAGAATGAGATTATTTTTAAATGTCATACTTCCTCAAATAAAAAGACAACATATCAAGTGGGATCAGCAGGACAGGAAATAAGAGACATATTTTAACCTACTTCTCAGTTGTTGACACCAACCTATCCTAACCTGAGGTGGAAAGTTCAGGTCGAGAAAGTACAAATCTAGACTAAGGTTTTGTTTCAACCCACCAGTTCAGTATAAAGAGTCACAGTCAGAGTACTTCACTGGTTGGTTGAAACAAAACCTTGGTCTGGATTTGTACTTTCTGGACCTGAACTTCCCACCTCTGATACTAACCTATGTGCAATATGACACTGATACAAGGGAGGAATTCAGTGTTTGTAGCTAGAAAAAAAATGATTTAACCTTTATAACAAAGATGGTTCTTAGGTTTTTAATCACTAACTGACATCTTAATTTTCAGAGCTTTCAACAAAGTTTGGTGTTTCCCTCTGGTAACTCTAAACTCAGTTAATCGCTTCACTGGTCTTTCATGGTAACTGAATTGAGTTCTGAATGCCACTTTGAGAGACATGGTGCTCTCACATTTCTAATGCAAGGACAAGTTAAATTATAACAGCAGTAGAGTCATAATTCACTAGAGGAGATGTCCTCCAAATTCAAAGTGGTTTTAAGAAAGCAGAGCCCCCACCGACTTCTCCCGTGGACATACCTGGAGACTGGTACTCTGGTCTGAGAAAGGGGAGCTGAAGAATGTGGTGACAATGCTCATGACCGTCTCGGTAACGTAGCGTTCCAGAATGTTATCAGCATGCTTCCTGTCACTTGTACTGTTGCATACCTGACAGGGGTTTGAAATTTCACATGGGTCAAACAAGCCTGAATTCTGGGTGAAGATCTACTTCATGAAGTTATTCTAGGGAACTGGAGGGAGCAAAATCAAGGAATGGATTTGGAAACGCTGCTCTAAAGAAACAGATACTGCCTTCCAGGTTCAAGACAATATTTTCTGATGTAGAAAGACTAGGCAGCAATTCTCCCAGAACATTCATATCCCATTCAAATCTTAACAAAAAGGTCCACGTTTGATTTTTCTGCCTTCTTCACTAACATCCACAGTTCATCACATTATTACTTATGAACAATGAGAATTAACCTTTACATTTCATACAATGGCATCACCACTGTTGATGTCTTACCCTGCATATGTCTATCAAGAAGTTCTCAAACAGTTTCCACATATGGTTGCTTGTGTAGATCTCCTTCATTTCAACCTCAGTGTCAACATAGCAGTGGTTCAGGAAGTTGATGTAGGCAATTTTCACCTGCAAAAAACGGAGAACCGCTTTGACGAATTGGCTTTCCCTGGTGCACAAAGTAGCATAAGACAGGTTGTAGCAGTATATCTGAGCGCTGAAAACATTACAAGGAAATTTTAGGGCACATAATCTAGTTATGTAGACCCATGAAATTATGTTTTATGAGTGGATTGTAATATTCCATCTGCTTTAAAAGATATTTTCCTGAGGAGTTACATTCCAGACAGCTAATAACATTTCCTACACACTGGTTTCATAGCACGTTCTGTTCCCCATGCTGGAGGATAAGTGGGTTTTCCAAAACTGACATGGTGACCACTGGCACTTCTCACCTCAGGGATGCAGTCCTCATGTGTCACCACACGAACAATGTCATCCAGGGGGAGTAGCGAGTTACATTTGATCTCAGTGTAGACATTCTTGCCCTCAGTGCAAATGGCCAGCAGCTCCACCAAGTGGATGTGGTAAATAAGAGGGCTGTTCTCGTCCATGCGGTCACGTTCCGACCGCATCATCTGCACAAGCGTCTGGAAAGAAGCGCGGTCGTTGTAGAAGACCAGCACATCCTCGCCTGAGTTCACCAGCTGTGAGACGGGAAAAATAGAATAGTATAAAACCACTTACAGACAAAGCTGTGGTCTGTTGCATTAACATAAAGCTCTTGGACAAACAATTGCAGGACAGAAGTTTTTAATAAAGATGTTAATAAAATCAAAAAGCATGTCTGAAGGATTGTTCTCACCTCAGCCATTACTATGTCCTGGCACTTCTTGATGAATTTGTTCTCAGCCTTGACAATGGTCTGCAGAAACTTGAGGTACTGGACATGGCGGCCATGGGTCTCAATGCAGTGGACAAAGTGTTGTACCACGCGCTCGTTGATTTCACTGCACAGCTGGAAGTTGTTCATGAAGATGTGCTGCATGGTGAGGGCTTCCAGACTCTAGAGGAACACAACATTTTTGGGAACTGTCCATGAAGATATGCATCACCTTTGGCAAGGGGCAGCTTTCATACTAATTCAGTCACTAAGATTCAGATTTAGCATTTGAATGGTAAACATCTAAACCGAGGACTCATTCCTTTTGCTTTTTGGTGTTTTAAGTTAAATACCAAGATATCCTTACTGAAGTGTAAGTTATCTCCAATACTGCTCACCCCAGGATTGAGGAAGAGGTTAATGTGTTTGTGAAGGAGCGCCTGGTTCTGTTGGTTTCCAGCACAGAAGTTCTGCAGAAACTCATGAGCCAACTTCATGATTTCCTGCATTCTCAGATCTTCTCCCTATCATACATACATATAAACAAATGAAAACATCACTGAAAAAAAAATGCTTTTACCACTAAAGATTAGTAGCCCAGGAAAACACAATACTCATGCTCTGATACTCCTGACCTCAGTCCTGGACTAGAGTACCTTTTCATAGGGAATCTGCAAGAGCTCCAAGACCACAGCATGGGCCCCCATGTTCCGAAGAAGCCTCTGCTGCTGTTTCTTGCTCTTCTTTCCAGATGAGCCCTCCTGAACACACAGCTTACTGAGCCTGAGGAGGATCTGAGCATCAGAGGAGACAGGAGGTCAGGGTCTGGCTTGTGTCATGAGTAGGTTCTGGAAGCCACCGGGAGGATGAATACCTCCTTCACTATTCTGTAGTTGTAACTGCTGGTACTCTCCTGCTTCTTCTTATCAGAGCCAGAGTCTCCCTGCAACAGAACAAAAAAATTTGAGCCTCCCTGAAATAGAAAGGTGGGGTTACAATCGACTGTGGAAATGGACGTGACCCTTGACCTTCTGTTCCATCTCGGAGGAAGGCCCATCTCCTGTATCCATGGATTCTCCCTGCCGCTTATACACCCACAGCTCAGATTTCTCCACAATGGAGCGCAGCAAGTCCAAGTCCCACTTGATCTGCTTGTAGTTTTCCACATCCTGGTTTGTGACCAGGAGCTGGACCTAGGAAAAAAAAAAAAGATGCGATGCACATTAAATATTAAGCTGCCCAAAAACATGGTGATGTAATCATAGATCCGTATCTCAGTGCTGATGAAGTTAGGGCACTCAGAGAAAGCCTTCATTGCCATGAGGGAGTACCTGCTTGAAGGCTAGCAGTACCTCCTGCCTCTGACTAAAATGTCTGAAAAGCAGGTGGAGAGCACCGGACACCAGGGGAGGGTAGTCATGCATTGTCAAATGGAGCAGGACCCTCAGGAACGTTCTCCCACCATGGTCATCCAGGTCCAGGGGTGTGTTCTCTTCACTGTTCCGACAAGAATGTTTCCATATGAAAGAAACCCAGAATGATAGTCAGTCAGTTCACAAGAAAAGAAATTCTTCATGTTATGAGTCACACCAAGGTTTCTCATCCCTATGTTTAACTGTTAATACATCAAAACCCAATACTTTATCTCAAACCACTTAAATTTTATGCATTTTTCACATTTTATGTACTTCACATTCCCTCAGTTCTTTTTAAAAATATTTCCATTGAGACTTGAGGGGAAAATGCATATTGCCACTGGACTGGATTTACCTTCCTCCAAAGATCCCCTCTGCCTGTTCTTCAATGTTCTCAAAATTCAGTGATCCTGAGGGAACACCAAAAGGAACATGGCTACACATAGAAAGTACGAGATCAGAGCACCCAACAACTGCATTACAGCTTGTGGGAAAACAAAACAATTGGGGATTAAAAAAATGGAATCTACATTTTAGAAACTAGTCCTGGAACCTGACCTGGTCCAAATCAAAACTCACACCCTTTTTCCGAGCCTTTGAAGTAGACAAAATTGTGCAGCATGAAGAAGTGAGAGGTGACTAAACAGAAAGACTTTAATCCCAAAACCTATAACACCAATATGTTTTTTAGGGACCATGGAAGTACCAAAATACTACTGTATATCATAAAAGAATAACAGATTAGTCTACACAGAAGGATTTTTGTATGGGTAGACTGTTTAGTGGATACTGACAGACTTGGGGAATGAACCTTGGTCACAGCTGGGGGAGGACTCATTTTCAGTTCCTGCTCGTACCCGTCATGTTGAGTCCATCCTGGGTGGTTCCTGGCGGTAGATCTGATTGGGAATTACTCTCATCAAACTCCCGTTTAAAGATGCAGAGCAGACAGGAGATTCGGTAGTCTAGACGAACATTCAGAATAAACTGTGGGGAAGAGAAAGGATGCCAACAAGTATGTTTCAGTAATCACTTTTTAAAAGAGGACATAGCGTTTTACTGTTCAGATGTTAAAATGAATAACAAAGGGAGAGTTAGCTACTGCACTCTCGACTTGAAGGACACAAAGTAACAGTACCTGCAGAATCTCTATTATTTTGAGCTTGGTGTCCATTACTAGAATGTCCTCCTTCTCGGGCTCTGTTTGGGTCTGGACAGCATCTCCATCAGGAGGATTGGCAGGGGTTGTGGGAAGAAAACCCCCTCCCCTTAGGACCACCTGGGTCATTAGCTCACCTACCCCATGGATTGACCTCATGACATTGCTACCTGTGTAAATAGATAATGATTGGTCCAGATCTCAGAGTCTGCATCTCAGCCAAGGCAGAATACACACATCCAGTGGTCTCTCACTCGTCATACTAAACTCAGGTATTGATTCTGAAAGTGGTCTCATTGAGTTTTACCTTTGCTCTCGTCGCCTTTCTCAATCTTGTTGATGGGAAATATGGTAGTGACATGGACACAGTCCAAAATAGACAGCAGGATCTTAGTCAACCTCAACAAATCACTGAAGTTGTAGAAGCCAAAATATATGAGGTTGCGAGCCAAATTCACAACCTGAAAATTGCCAAGAAGCAAAAAGGTTTAAACTGCTGTCATACTCAACTTCTAATTTTTTCCTTAAGTGACCAATAGCAGCTCACCTCAAAGGTTAGTTTGTTTTTCTCTTTGTCCGAGAAGGGAACATTCTGACAAACAACATCTCGCAGGTAATTCTCCACAAACTCCATGGTGAGGGCAAAGCGCTCCTTAATTTCATCTTTGGTGGTGCCACTGTTATCATAGCTGCCAAGCACCAGAAAGATGTCAGCACCAGACAAACTGATGACCTACAGTGAGTCTATCCCTTCCATTGAACATTTTTCTTTCTATTCAATATTAGTCCCATTGAAGCAGCTGCATTGAACATGCTGCCACAACTTCCAAAGAATTTACTAGAACTCACTCATCAATGGCGATCTGGGAAGGAATCTCGGACCACAGTCGGGCATACTTGACGGGGGTGACCGGCTCCTGTGGGTCACGGTCCACATGCATGTGTAACATCAGTCGGCAGAAAGATGCCCGTAAATCGTATGGTAGGTCTTCATCCGACATGCAGCGCAGTATCAGGTCCACATCCAGCTGGCCTGAGATCTTGTTGATGGCCAGGTACTGCCGATCCAGGCACATGCGCGCAAACAGGTTCAGCTGGTACCTAGATGGTACAAGCAGAGTCATACACGAACACCATGCAAACAGGTAAGTAGTCTGAATCTCACACCCTCCATTTGCCTGTGGCCTCATCTACTTTAACTGCCATCTACAGATATACGCTACATAAAACCATTGTAGCGGCAGGCAGTTCAGCCTTCAGGTATAGCCTTCTAAAGTATAGACCTCAGGAGCACCAAAATGACTGATCTGTCCATCTACCTGTCATCTGCTCTTCAGCCAAGAATGCTGATGAATATGATCTGGGCACCTCCTGCCTACCACATCCCTGACCTGTAGTAGCTGACCACTTCCTGGTCCTCCTTCTGGCCTTCCTTGGCATCCTGGGCCAGCTCCCGAATGCTCTTGCTGCGAATCTCCTTGTTTCTGTCCTTCCAGAAGAGCCAGACCTCCTCTTCATCCTCCTCAGACTCGGCTGGGTTCTCCCCAGTCGGCGTGCCCTCAATCTCGAACCGTGACAGCACCAGCCTGATGGAGATGAACCACAAATGGGTCATGACACAGAGGACGTGAAACTCACAGCCGCAGCTCCAGAGCAGTGGAAATGGGGCTCCTTGCTCACCTCAGACTAATCCAAAAATGAGCTGGTGAAGAAGCAGCAGGCTGAAACACTTAAGTTTAGGGTCAAATTGTTTTTCCTATTTGTGAGCAAAAATTATTTCCTTCACTTAGAGTTAAACCGTTATTGGCAATGCTTAAATATTACTAAGTTACGAATTCATTTCTTGTATAATTTGTGCAAATGCTGGCTTTGTGACATTTTATGCTTTCTTAAAAGGGGATCACAGAGATGCATTTTTTGATCCCTGACAGAAATATTTAGTGAAGGCAATAATTACATATTTTAATCTAAACTTCTGATCCCAGTTCTTAAACAGCATCCATGCTGATGCTGTTCTTTATGGCAAATGTCCTCTAGCTTATTAAGACATTAAGACGACTGGGGATTAAGGTTAAGGCTGGAGCACTTTGGAGACCACCCAAGCGAACATGTGAGGAACATGGGAATCGAACTCATACACCTGGAAGTGTGAGACTGCAGCATCATCCAGCAAGTTACCACAACACATGGAACAGTATAATAAGCAGGAACCATATATCACAAAACTCTCATTTGGTGGGGAATGGGACCTCCCAGGTATCCCAAGCACTCACTTTGTCTCAATCAAGATGTCGGCATTAGTGGGGTCCAGAACGGCATTGCAGATAAGCTCCTGTGTCACGGGGATGGACTTGTTCATGGACACACACAGGTCGGACAGATAGTCCAGAAACCTGGGGGGGAATATGGGACAAAAGCAGGTGTTCAGGAGTCTCACCCTGCACACAGGCAGATGTCATGACCTTAGACTCATAATGAGCACTACAAGAGTTTCAATGGTATAGCTAAATCTACACAGGTTGCTGTTACACATGGACGATCAATGTGAAAGTAAACCATTTGGGCCATACTGCGCCAAGGTCTTCTTCTAACCTGGGTTCCCTGTTCTTCCTCACGAGACTGACAAAGGTGTCTATCTCCGCAGCTGTGATGTGCTTCTCTAGGAGCTTGCGGTTGTTGTGCAGCAGGGCCGTGATGGTGTCCTCGGCCAGCACGTCGTAACCAATCTGCTTCTGCATGAAGCGGAACTGTTTGGCGATGTACTCCTACACGAGAGGGAACACAATCAGACGGCTCACTCCAGAAACCTGTCCGAGCTGATCAGCTGGCCCCTTGGCACGAAAAATCTCAGCTCACGAGACTTAAATGCGTGTATCCGGTCCATTAACATGCCACTGGGCTTTCGCGGCTATACTGTAGGAGCAGCACTGATCTGGGTAAGCCTTTGTGCCTATAAAATCCCATCTTGCCCTCTACCAGGCCCACCTGGTTCTTCCGGTAGTCCTGCTGGGAGTGGCGGAGGACACGGTAGCACAGGCGACAGATGTGCCGGAAGGGGGCGTGGCGTTGGTCGCCCAGCTCCTCCAGACGCAACATGGGGCCATCACCGCTGTCAGTGAATGGAGCCTGTAACAGCTTAAAAATCTGCAACGGGAGCAAGGGGGCAGAGCCAGCTTCGTAAGTGGTTAAATTATCCTTGAGATGCACACTTGGCTGGAACAGAACAGAGAACACTGGGGTGTTGGAAGTGGACCTTGGAAAGAGGACTGGCCTGACTGAACCCAAAGTCTACATCAATAGCAAGACAAACCTTCCAGAAAATGACGCCTTCTGCTTTGATGTTATGAATTAGGCCTGCAGGCATTGTTTCAGACAAGTAAACTTCACATGGCCTGAATGCCATCAGGTAGCTGGTATCTTTCATTTCCTCCTACAGCTACTAACAAAACATTTTGTGTGTCTCCCTCTGACAGTCATATTTCTTCCATGATTGCTGCATTTCTTTTACTGAAACTTAGGGGATGCACAGCCATCCAGAGAGACAACAAACACGAAGGCTATCCATGATTCCTGAGCTTCGCTCACACAGCGCTAGAAGGCCCTTCTGCACGCTTTCAGCCTGCTGCTGTAAAAGAAGCTTCAGGTGTCTATCGGCCTACCTGTTTGAGAATGTTCTGCTCCCTCATCAGTTTCTGCCTCTCCCGGTCAGGCTTGTTAACCATGATCTCCAGCACATCTTGGCCACTATTGGGGATGTCTACCACAAAGAACACCAGGTCCTCCAGCAGTTTGGTGACAAACCTACAGCATGGGTGGAAATGATCCAAACATTTTATTCGCGTGGGAACTGCCAGCACCGAGGCACAAGTTCTGTTACCGAAGGGAATGGGGTAAACAAGTTTTGGTGGCCATGGAGAAAAGAGAAGAAAAATCATAATGACATTATCCCACCACAATCTGAGGAATAATCTACTGAGAGGTTCATAATCATACCAAGTTTCTCCACTGGGGTTTTTCCAAACTTGCAGACCCACAGATGATGAAATGAGTGTCAGGCTGAAATGAGTCTGAGATCATACCTCCTCTCATTTTGCGTGATCGTTCCTTTCTCCAGCTTGCCCGCGATCGAGGCCAGAACCTTGCTGGCGTCGTTGGCAAAGTCCAGATCGCGCACCTCTGCAGGGGGGACTGGCACAATGGCAAAGGCCTCCTTATCCTCCTTCACAGTAGATGTGCCAATCTAGGAGGGGGTGGAAAAGGAAACAAACAGGCCAGATGACAGCTACGGCATGAATGACGACTCCATGTGCCTGCCCCAATTAAGGAAAACAGCCGTTGAGGTGTTTCGCCATTTCGTGGAATGTCTTATTTTATAAACCTAAGATCTTTAACAAAATTCAGAAAACTGGAAAACAAATTGGTGTTCTAGAGTGACAAATGTCATGCCAAGCATGTGTGGGTAACTGACGTGCTGAATACAATGCAGATATTTGCCGGCCCACGTACCCTTAACATCACCGGCTTCTCCTCCTCTTTGTCAATGGGGTTGTTAGTGCTGTGGACCCACGTGTTGGTGCACAGGTGTCGCAGCCTCACGTACGAGTTCCTGAGGGAACGCCAAATATAGACTGGGTCCGAAACACGAGCAACATGGAGATAAGGACACGTTTTTAAAAAAAAATTAAAAATAGGGATCCCTTTTCTAGGTTTCCACAGAAGGTTCTTGCAAAGTAAATATGGCTGTAGTTAGAGAGCAGCAAGCCAACCTTCTACACCAGCGGCCAAAAACGTGTGAAAACAATTTAATGGGAATAAGAGATGTTAACATTCCAGTAAAGAATCCATCGTATCATTCATTCAGATGCTGAAAGGCAATTTCAGTTATGGTGCATGGCTGAACCCATGGACCCATAAAGCCTTAGCTTAAAATCAAAGGTGCCATGGCCACCCTGGTCTGCAGCAGTAACCATGCCGGCACATCAACCATGTCTCCAACTGATGGTTGCTCATGCCCGTCCAAAAGCATGAATGCAGGGTTGGTCATGGAGACGCAACCACATTACTGTTGGTCACAGGACAAAGGTGGTTGTGTGCTCCTTTACATCCTGCATTAATAAGCTATAAGAACCAGACCCTTGTCAATGCTGCCAAGGCGAACACAGGACTGGCCATTTCAGCTGGGAGTCACCTTCCTTAAACCACGCGTGGGTGTTTCACACGGTCACTCATGCTGTAACCTATCCGCACAGGAACCACTCATCTCATCTGACCATAAAATACTCTTCTGCCCACGACCACAGCTCACGATGCCGGAAATTCAGTGCCTGAAGCATGTGAGCAACAGGAAAGCTGTGAAGCTCTCGCAGAAGAAGCCAGGGCCTCCGACGTGCCGAGTTCCTCAGAGCAACTGATCCAGCATCTTATTCATTAGGAATACTGACAGCCCCCCCCCCACGGCCCCCCACCGGAAAACACACTGCCAGGACTGTACTGCCATACTTTTAAAAACCTGGAGAATAAGACCATTTGCCTCTTATTTACAGATCTGACCATTGCCATGACACACCACAGAGCTAACAGGAGGGGAATTCCAGGCTCTGACGCACATCTACTGTATCTGCAAGCTAAAATTGGATGCAGACAAGTTTGCTAATCTTGGCAGCTGGCCTTTAATTGCAAAGAAAAGCGGATGCAGAGAAAGGAGGCTTTATGAAGCTAGTGCCTTACGCAACCTCTGCGCTCTGCTGTTGGACGTGGAGCATGACAGAGTCTGTTTACACGCCGCATTGCGACATCCTTGTCTGGATCAGCCCATCCATTGTGTGTCGACTGGAGAAGTTGGTTACCAAAGTTTTCTGATTAAAAACGAACACGGTACTTTCCTGACATTAATGAACTGTGTAGAAATAGCGGTTTGTGGAGGATCCACCCTTTTCCCTCCCTCTCCTCACATCCCCAGGAAGTGGGCCGTGATGTGTGAGGTCCAAGGGTGAAAACAGACAAATGAAGCATGTGAGAAGTTCAGTGCCACCCCCAAGTCAGGGGCAGGAAAAAGGGGATTTCTACGTGGGCTTTTCTTTGCTGCAGGATAAAAAGAAATGCGATCCGATTTTTAAAAATTATTATTATTAATCTCTGAAAAAGATTTTCAGTGATCCACTGGCTTCCCATAGATCAGAGACAGCAAGTGACAGGGAGCAACAACTTGTCGTTCCATATGTTAAAACTCCCCATCACACTGAAAATGAACCTGACGTGAAATAAGTCATGTCAATTTACAGCAATTATGATGGAACCAAAAAAAAACAAAAAAAACAACAGATGCCAAACATACACATACAAAAATAGATGCCATCTTTGCCAAACACTCAAATTCAGCACCCCTAAAAGTCCATATTACATACAGCCGTGGGGGGGTTAAAAATGTTTAAAAATCACGGCACAATATTTTGTTTCACTCATTTCTCAACTTATATACGTGCTGTTTCTCATTAATGAAGGGCTTCTTCCCTGTTTCTCATTAATGAAGGGCTTCTTCCCTGCTTTATGGGACTTCAGTCCTGCTTCTAGAAGCCTGATATGAACTGTCCTAGCCGTGCACTTCACACCTACACTTAATGTTTCCCATTCCCTTTGAAAGTCACTTGATGTCATTCTACGATTCAAAAGAAACTGCTGAATAACTCTGTCATCTCTGGTATTAGAGAGTCGCTTCCACCCTTTACCTGGCTGGTTTCTGCCCTGTTTCACCTTATTCTTGTGTACTGCTGTCTTACACATTTTGAACCTTGAAGCATCCTGCTGCACAGCATAGCCTTCTGCCAGCAGAACCAGGATTAAAGCAGGATTTAAAAATGCAGATTTGTTTAAAAATATTTTGAAGTGGTCTCGTAATTTTTTCCACAGCTTCATATATGGATAAAAAAAAAAGCAATGTAAAAGATAGACTATCCGTAAAGGTGAATCATCCCCTGTCAGCATGTTGGATCATCCCAAAGCGTGAGGCAATCCCAAGTCAGGAGGTTAGATTTCAGAAACGTTTGTCAACAACGCATGACCAACCCGTGAGAACACAGCTGCAGGGCTCAGTCGTTCCCCGAAGGCCACGACCCAAGCTAACCTCCCACACAGCAACCAGACAGCAACAGCATATAAAGAATTACAGAAATAAAAACCGGCAAGTTAGGCATGTTAACTGCTTATTTTTCCAGAAAAATGACTGTCCAGCTCAAACATGCATTTCTGTTTACACTCCATCAGTCATGCAACTAGAAGCCAAGAACGGATTGTGTCACCAAGGCGAGGCACTATCGCTCAGCAGGAAAGGACAAGCACTGCTCTGAAGATTCGTACCTGGGCACCAGGGAGTCTCCTCCTCGCAAGGTGGTTGGGTCCAGCTCAAAGATGGAGGAAATATCGTTGCCGTCAGGGACGGAGACGAGACTGTACATGACCTTTCCCTGAGGTGGGCGGAGCCGAGCTCTCAGGGCCTCGTGCTCGGAGTCCAGCTGATCGAAGGACAGACGGCTTTCAAACACAACACAAGGGGATAGGCTTCTGCTCAGAGCCCCCTAACCCAGGAGTGGGACAGCACACAGACATCACAAAAGACCAGACAGTACCGACGCGATGGTTTGGAGGACAATCAATCCATCGCTGCGATTGCATATTCAAGGACATCAATGACAGGGGGGACAGAGATAACTTTGGGAATGCCGTTCCTATTGTCCAGCCTTCCAGCAGTGGCAGGAATTCTGCTAATCCTAGACCTGCCCTTCGGATTCATGTCATGGATGACTGGTGAAGACGGGACAGTGAATATTCTAGCAGGAGGGCCCAGTGACTCAGAGACATAGCACTGTTACAATCTAGCAGCTGAATTAATAAAACGTTAAATCATTATTAGCTAAATTGTAATCAGTCTTTACTCAACTAGTCACCAGTTCAAAACGTAAATTTGGTGGCATACTGCCCTCTACAGGCAGACTAATGGCCACACTAGTCTTGCTAACATTTCTTTATACATAATGACACCTAGTGGTCATTTCAAAACACTTCCCTTATACATTTCAATCCATATTATTTAGATTAGAATGTTATTCTTACATTTCCTGCAACCCTGAGAAACTCTGGACTCCAGCCAATTCAATAGAGCACGAACATTTTAAAACATGTGCCTCTGCCACTGATCTGTAATCAGCACCCTGTGTAACACCCATGCAGAGCAAGCATCCAGACAAACCTGCCAACTGCATGCACAAGGGACAGAAGCATCTTATTAAGGTGCTGCACAAAGGGATCAGCTCAGCCGAACTCATCCCACCACCACTACCAGACTGACAGGTGAGAGTGTGTGTGGGACAGGGGGTGGATTAAACACATTACCTGGAAATTAAAAGGGATAAAATCCCCAACCTGCAACGTAAATGAGAGTCAATACAGAAGTTAGGCCGGGCCACAGTACACTGTAGGTGACAAGCAATCCGCTGGTCCTGCAGGTCTGACTTACAGAAGAACGAGGTTCCGGGTTCTCCTCTACATAATCTGGGTTCACCTGAAAAGAAACATGAAACGGAAGGTGCTAAAGGTGGCGTTATTATACTGCTGATTTTTTTAAAATGCAGTTATTTTTATATTACTTTCAATTTGAAATCCAGTTTATTTGTAGCTCGTTTTTAGTGAGGGTTTATTGGTTTTTAATTTCAAGATATATTTCTATTCAGTTTTTATTTTTCTCCCATTTAGTTTATATTTTATTTTCAGTTTAAGTTTTAATAATTTCAATTCTAGGGATAGACTGAAAGTAAAACTATTTTCTGAGTCTAATCTTTAGAGAATCCTACATGAATGCACAGATCACATTATACACTGTCCGCAAAACACATTCCAGAGATTATTAATGGTAATTCAAGATAAACATTAAAAATAAAACAGTGAGAAGTATTTCATTTGTCAGTTTATAGCTTTACAGTTTATTTTTTTTGTAAGCAATAAAAAAAGTTAGTTGTAGTTTTTTTTATTTTTGTATGTTACAGCTTTATAGTAAAATTTATTTCAGTTTGTTTTGTATGCAATATTTTTGTATCTTATAGCTTTATAATTTTCATTGACAATAATAACCCTCGTCCACAGTGGCATCCTCCACCCCACAAACAGAACCACACCCCCAAATTCAGAATTACAGTTCCAGGTACACCTGGTTCCCATTCCAAGCAGGCAATACACGTGACTCACCTCCGCAGCCAGGTAGGATCCAGTGGCCAGGTGCTTAAAGCGGAACAAGCTGTTCCAGTAGCCGGCTCCACCCCGACAGGGATCAGGGTGCACCACCTACCCCAGGGAAAAGCCAAAAAGAAAGGAAAAAAGTGAAACAGCACCACCTAGTGTCTGTCTGAGATGAGAGTAGCCGATTCACAAAAAACAGCATCACCAAGGAATCCATCGATTTAAACACACACAATCATTCGTAAAATGCAATTGTATAGTCCCGACTGAAATGTCATACACACTGTAGTTACGCTGCATTAGGTGAAACCTATTTATGAGAATTGCTTGCTTTCAAAACTTTATATTGATCTCAAGATTTGTACATCATGTGTAAAGAACCTGAACATTTCTGGGAATAACTAACACACTCACAGAATCCATGTTCCCCTTCGGTACTCTCTGAGAGAGCAAAGTCTTAATAATAAACACCTAAGCATCTACCATCCATGTCTAACTTTCAGGGCTCACCTCCACTTCCCATAAGGCCTTGCTGCTTGTGGCGGAAGTAGCAGACTGGCGGCCAGTGGTGCGGAGGAAGACGTGCTGCTTTTTCCGGTATTCATCGCAGGTGAGAAACTTTTCCTGTTCCGCGTGGAACAGCCGAACGACATCACCCTGAGAGCAGAAGCAGAGAGGCAGAGTTGGGGGGAGAAAATTATGTTAGGTCACTCAAAAGACAAACACTTCTGCAGCAAAATACCTTATGATTTAAGAGAAAAATGTAGGAGGAACCTACCCCTTTAAGAACACTCTCCATGTTGTCACTCCATTTCATAAACAGGACTATCTTCCAGCTAGTGTTGCAGTTAACCGAGTTCACCTTTAGGAAAAAGCGATTAGAGGAGAGAGTCAAGCAAAGTGGGAATAAATCAAATAAAATAAGTAAATACATGACCATTTGAAAAACTGTAAAACCATTGTTCTCCATTCAAGCCCCTGTTCTCTGATGAGACTCAGGTTATCAGCTGAAATTAGCATCAGTTGAAAGTGGCTTATGAATATGTGACTGCAGACACACCTCATTGCACCCTGGGTTGTCCACCAGCTGATGGCTACTGGCGTGAAGTGGCTGGCCAGCGTTTACAGGGTTCAGGACCACTTTGTCCCCAATGACGACCTTTTAAGGAACAGAGAGAATCGACGGATATTATTGGCTGAACTTGTTACCTAAGACATGGGCCCAGGTAGTTACAGAGACATTCAATCTCTATAAAGCAAGGATTTATGTGTAAACATAGAAAAACAAAAATATTACAAGAGGAGTACATTGTTATAGATATGCCCACAAGGTCAGAGTTGGAGTTTCTTGGGGCAGTGTGGGCTAAGCCTCTGTGAATGTGATCAGAAGGTTGCTGGTTTGAGCCCAGCCTCAGCACGTCTGTGGGTCCTAACCCCCAGCTCCCTGGGGGCTGCTATGGGTGGTTGCCCTTCATGCTTGCAGTAATGGAGACCAAGATGGGGAAGGTGAAAAGTGTTATTTTATTGATCCCTGTGGGGAAATTCTATTACTATTTTTCATTAAAAATTGGCACCCAAGCAGAGTAAAATCACACATTTCACTGAGGTGGACTTTAATGAGGTTACGACTGGCTCTTTAACTGCACTGTAATTAAGCGCAGTTCAGAGCTCTGAGTCTGCAGATTAGGAGTCCAAGAAGAACATGCAGGGAAGAGAATATCCCAGTAATGGGCCCTTTAGCCCTAGTACCAGGGGGCCTGTTAAGGGCCGGTGCTCCGGCTGCACCGCTCTGCAAAACCCGTCTGTTCACAAGCGGGGAAACAGAGCAGATGGATGGAGCTAAAACACAGCGGCTGGAGGTCTGTCTCACCAGGAAACGGAAGCTGAAGCGAAAGGCTTAAGTGTGAAGATCGGTGAAAATCCCAGATATGAAAGCAGACCTGGCCTTCAGCATGAATGAGAGAGAAAGACCTGAGCCATACCCCTGACCCACCCCAGTGCAGACTGTATTAGCTCATACTCTCATATACTCTTCATCAGGGGCGCCGTAAGCTAGGACGACAGGGGCCCTAAAAAATTAGGAAAATAACTGGATTGGTTTAGACTGGGGGGCCTAATATGATATGCTTTCATGGGGCCCAAAATCTCAAGCAGCGCCCCTGCTCTTCATGCTTGAACAAGCAAAGTCCTCACTACTGCACAAAACCACAGCTATTGTTATTCTGCAGGTATGATTAGATTAAAGGAAAGGTGACATTGCTTATTTGCTTCAGCCCGATGTCATTAGCTATATAACATCTTGGAAAACCAAATTATAAGGTTCCACCCGTCTTCCATAAGCACTTAGGTTCAGGAAGCATGGGGAACGAGGCAGGAGACACCCTAGATGCCCCGTCACTTCATCTCAGACTTTATGATGGGTAAATGTTTTTCACTTTCAGTACATTATTCAATAAATCATACGAGATATTCAACATTTTATTATGAAATTGGCTTTGTGATGATTTTGCCCAACTGTAGGTTAATTTAAGCGTTGTAAGCATGTTTAAGGTAGATTAGGCTAGGCTATGATGTTTGGTGTACTCTAATAAAATGCATTTCCGTTTTACAATATCTGTACCTTACAGTATGGTTATCGGAACGTAACCCCATCGTAAGCCGAGGAGTCTGTACCTAACTGCATTTTCCAACTACAGGAAGAAACTTGAGTACTTGGAGTAAACATATCCACTGTGTACTTGTTCTTTTTAATAAACAATGCTAATAAAAAATAATTGCTCAGTTTGAAGACCATACTGCAACTTGAGTACAGCCCCCATGCAGACCACAGACCATCACTCCTCAAGGCATCACGGGTGATACAGAAAATAGAATAACAACAATTAATACTCCACTTTAATGTGATGTGAGTTTTTCCTTGCTGTATGTATGCTGTATTCCATTTGTACTCCTAACTATGAAATTATGAGTTCCCAGTCGGAAATTTCAACTGGAACGCTCCCCCAAGTCAGAATTCCTACGCGAAAAGTCGGAAAAATCTACATGAACCAGACCTCAGAATTCAAGATGGCTGCACTCATTATCAAAAGTCAAAGCTGCAATTTTATACAATTTATTAACACTCATGTCTTATTTGTGGCTCATTAAATAAGTCGTACACATAGTACTGTCCAACCGCTATCTGTGGATGTGTTCCTATGTGTTTTCATGCGCAAAATACCACATCATGTGTTATCAACTGGTATTGCCAACAATGGCTAAGGATGGACCTGCATAGAACTGGGGCCTGTTTCAGAAAGCAGGATTTCTTGCTTAGCCGGATAACTTCTCAGATTTAAGGTAGTTTGGGCTAATTGTAAGTGAATGAAGATAAAGGGCCTTTAAACTGGGGTAAATTAAATCCGATAAGATATCTGACTAAGCAAGAAATCTTGCTTTATGAAACAGGTCCCTGGGTATTGCTAAATGGCTTTCTGACTTGCTGTACTGGAACGCGGTAAACTCAGTTGTGACATCATTCCCATTTCCCTCAGGATCACTCACACTGTCACCGATAGAGCGCAGTTTGTAGAAGGGTTGGATGTAGAACCAGGAGCCCTCGTTCCCCGCAGAGTCCAGAGTCACCCTCATGGCATTCTTCTCCAGGAGGGCGGGCAGACGCTTGTTCACAGTCAGGTACTTATTGCTCTTCAGGTGGAGAAGCTGGAGACAGATGGAGAGCAGAGTGAAAACTCTCATGCGTGCGTGCGCATGCACATGTATGATTAATGGCACCACCGACAGGGAGAATCAGTGCCAAACCAACGAGATCGGGGGCTCTCCAAGGAGCCACATTAGGAAATGAGCTTGAACTCCATCCAAAGCATAATAAAGTGAAAGCGACTTCACCACAGAATCACAATAAGGTGAGAATGCACTGCCAGTGTGAGCATGCAGAACAGTTCATGCACCGTTAAGAAAGGTCATCTGTGAAACAGTTTGAATCCCTTCTGCTGTTCCAGCCCATCCAAGACCCCAATATATCTGCAGATAAAAATGCACTCAAAAATACGAGACAATAAATTCTAGAGTCTTGTTAAATGTGAATATTATGGTCAGTAGCTATATTCATAAATTCTTCGAGTACCCAGCAGCCCTAGAAGCCCTGGAGCAGAGCCGCATACAGCTATGAAGGCCCAGAGCATCTTGAGTGAAACGCCTGAGCGACCACCTGATCCGTAAGGAAAACAGTCATGTGGCTGCCATCGTTTCTGCACACTGTCTGGCACAGGAGGCTCCTGGGGAAATTCAGCTCAGCTCCAGGATGACAGAATGGATAACGCTTCTGAATTGTGGGTAAAGGAGAGTGCACATGGTTCTGGCTGCAGTTCTGCATCAACATGGCCACCGCATCCCCCAACCCAAGACTTCAGGCTCTCTTTGTCTGCCGCTCCAGCAGCACTCCCTTCCAAATGCACCACCAATGGGGGAAGCATCTGCCTTTTCCTACACTGGTGGCGCTGTAGTCTCTAGGCTGTGACCTGCTCCATTGCTTCATGCTCAGTGCTCACTCTCAGGCTCACTCCACCTCAGGCCTCCTGTCACGGGGCCGACACAACCCCGCCGCACACGGCCGTACCTGAATGACGTTGCCGTACTGTATGACGGTCCCCAGCAGCTTGCGGTTCTCAGACTCGTTCTGCTTCTTCTCCAGGTCAGCTGCATGCTGCAACAGACAGATGGACCCGGGAAGGCATGAGGGGGGCAGAGGTGGGACTGCACATGCAGCCAAGGGTATAGATTTGGGTATGGACAGTAGGGGCACGTCTCTACTGATATTGGGAGTACCGTGTGTGTTTAGCGGGCTGGGAAGTTTGGGGCTAATTTGGTCCCAGTGTTGAACCATCCCCAGTTCTTAGAGAAGACTTTCTTCTATCAAAAGCATATACAGGGGCGGAGCCACAGGGGCACTGGCTCCAGCTGAAAGCTGATTGGCTTCTGGAGTGACCTCTCCCCTGTCAGTCACCAATTCAAAATGTATCATTGACTAATGACAAGGTTGCCCACTCTGTATGAATTACGGACCGTCTTATATCCTCCACTTTAACAAAAAAACAATCCTACAATCAGCCCCCAGGGGCACTCTGGGGGGGGGGGGTTAGGACGATTTCAAGGGCCCTAAAAATAACTGGATTGCTGATCTGGTTTACCATTGGTTTGTCATTAGTTATATAACATCTCAGATTACAGAAACATAATTGGATTGGTCTAGATTGGGGGTCCAAAATGTTACGCTTTCATGGGGCCCAAAATCTGTAGCAGCACAGCTGATCGCCCCTGCCTTCCATCTCAGTTTTAATTCAGTCTATGACTAATCTCTCTCTAGTGCTGCTCATCACACCATAAACAACAAATTTGAGACAGATCGTTCTCCAGCTGGAAAATAAGAAGTCTGTGGGCCAAAACCTTCACCCATGAAGGTTCCCAAGAGAACAGATACATTATGCAGCTGCCCCAGAGGATCGTCCTCCACACCAGACAAGAGACAAAGCAGCTATACAATTACGAACGGCAGAAAACTGGTTCGGCAGAGCCGGAGAAGTGTTCCAGGAAGACGTGCTGCAGGGCATACTCACATGCAACTTGTTCAGCAGCACGGTGTCTGTGGTGTTGTTGCCCCCAGGCTTGGCCGCTTTCCAGAACTGTTTCTGTGCAGAGTAGCGGTTCATTGGGCACAGTTTGAACTGGCAGTCTGCGGAGAGAGCAGAGGCCACACGGGGAGTTACGGATTTGCGTAGGGTCAGGAGGAGCGAAGGGCACAGTACACACTATAAATCAGCAGCCAGCTCAGCTCGATGCAACACAGGTGATGATTTCAACTGACGCTAATAAGATTGAAATAACAATGCAAATAATCAGAGAAAACTGCTACCTGGATAATAGGGAAGGTGATTATCAGTGCTATAGGAGGAAAATAACCAGACAAGGACTGGCCAAAACATGCACATGAGTAGACTATCGATGACCACCAGGAGGCACTGAACAGATTGAGCAAGACTGCACAATACCAGCAACAAAATGCTGCAACTCTAATTCCTCCAAAATGCATGTTACACTGGGCTCATTTTGGCCAATCACCTCTCAGAACAGTAATTTTCAGTATGAGTATTGTACTGTAAAAGTCCCCAGATATAAACAAGACAAAAAAATCTAGATGGGACAGCCATGCCAAGTTCAATGGGTCAATGTTTCAGAGAACCAGCTATGTACCTGAAAATAAATATGGATCCTACAAACCATATAAATAGAACGGACAAGTATACAACACAGAGGTGAGATTGAAACAGCCAGGAAGCAGAACCAGAGAGACACCTCAGACCTGGAAATTCAGTTACAGTGAAGCTGGACAACTGGATAGCAGAGTTACACTGTACGAAGGTCAGTGCTTGAGTCTTGTACCATGACTGAAGTTCTTAAGATGTGCTGCTCT